TCTGCCGCTGCCTCCCGTAGAGGTGGCCCAGAGCAAGTCGCTGGCGGAGCAGGTGTAAGCCTGCAGCTCGGTGACAGCCTGGCACGTGGACAGCTCGCTCTCAGGTGCGCCAGCTGTTACCCCCAGAGCAATGCTGGCTCCGCAAGGACTAGGCTGTCCAGGGGAGCTGTTTTCAGCCTGTGTGTGGTGACTTGTTTTAAACAGTTGAAATACTGTGCTGAGCGGTGAGCTCCGTGCTCTCTGGAGCCCCTCCTCTCCCCCTTGGAGAGCCGCAGCCTGTGGCATTGATAGAGGAATCGTGTCGAGACTGTTAGCCTCCGCACAGAGTGCCATAAAATCTGGGGCACTGGGAACCGAGAAGCTGTTGCCCGTGCCAGGAAAACCTGTGAACAGAAGAAGCTGCAGTCCGTCTTCATGACTGGCTGGGCGCACTTGGGATTTGCAGCCTGGTTCTTAGAGGAGCTGTTCGTGTGAAGGTCCCCAAAAACGCGTTCTGCCTGCAGGAATTGTCTCCTTCTCGCTTGGTACCTGCTGCTGTGCATCCTCTCTTGCTCTCTGCCTGGAAAGCTAGCTCGTGCTTGCCTTGTCTCTCTGCTCTGTACTTCCAAGACGAAGCAGGGTTGTAGATGTAAACGTGCCTGCCAATACCTCCATCCGTAATCTGGCCAACAGCCTGAGTGCTGCTCATGGGGCTGACGTATCGTGGGGAAATTCTCTAAGGGCCTGGACAGAGATAATCCAGGGAAGGGATTCAGTGTTTGGAGACTGACACCCACTAAATCCCGAGCTGCCTGTGAGTCTGGAAGGGCTCAAGGGGGTGGGAATGGTTGGGAGCTTTGCCGTGCCTTCGGCAGCCCCGGTCGGACTGACGGGTCCCGTTGGCAGGCATGGCTTGGTGCCCGTCTTCCCCCCGTCTGGTCTACCTGCAGCAGCCGCTCGCTCTGGTCTGTGCTAATCCGGTCTTCTGTTGCCTCTTTTGTGCTGCAAAGTGAGAGGGATCAAAGCGCTTGTGAAGCACCAGAAGAGAAGTGTGTTGCTTTAGAAGCTCCCAGGCCGGAGGAGGCTGTGGCGCAGGAGCCGGAGGAGGGGTCGCTGGAGGAGCTTGCTGCCCCGCAGAAAGAGTAAGGGCTTCGTTTCGGTCCGGGGATCGTCGGCATAACGGCGTTTGTCCTTCCGTCCCCCTGTGTGGCGTCTGAAGCGAGCGCCCAGGGAGCTGCGGCTCGGTGGGCCGAGCGTCGCCGTACGCAGACCCAGGCAGCTGTTTCGCTGGCGAGAGCCACGTGGACGGTCTGTACTGGCGAGGGGGGCACGGCAGCTCAGCCCGGGGGTCTGTGGCACAGGACCCTGCAGGCTGGAGAAGGAGCTGTGTGCTTTGTGCCTGGAAAAGCCTCCTCCTTGCCCGTGTCGCTGACGAGGCTGTATGTGTGCGCCCTCCTTTGAGAAATGCTTTCTGACTCCCGAGGTCGCTTGCTGAGTGGGGGGGGGACGACAGCAACAAAAACCCCAGCAAATGACCCCACTCTTAGAGTCACTGGGAACGCTGGTTGCTGTGAGATAGTAAGGGCAGAGCGCAGGGTGGTGGGGCGCGGGTTCCCCGCGCACGCCGGGGCTCCGTTGCTGTGCTGTGTCGATGGGCCTCGCGGATACGTACCCGTGGTTCCACTGCCCCAGAAGGTCTCGGCAGAAGTGATTGTGCTGCGTTTGCTTTCCATGTCACGTGACAGATGAGCAGATGCGACGGGAAAAATAGGCAGTGCGTCTCTCGGGACAAGGTGGTGGAGAAGCAATCTGCTGTGGAGACCAGCACAGCATCTCCCTTTCTCTGTCGGGAAGTGTGACGAGTGGTGTAAATGTGCATGTGTTGGCTGGATCTCTTTTTGAGCAAGACCTGGGGCAAAAGGAAGAACGTGATAAAAAGGTGGAAGCGGCTGAATTGCGTTGCAGAGCGGCCTGATAAACAGCATCTTCTGCAGGCATCTCTGCAGCTGGCCCAGAGCGTGTAGCACTATGGAGGAGCGCTAGTGAAGCCGGAGTTTTCCAGAACCCGACTGCTCTTCCCTCTGTCTTGTTCTTTTTTGCTAACAGCTGCGTAAGTGACCTTTTCTCTCTTCACTCAAGGCTATATTACTGGGACTGTTACTGCCCGGATTCCTGGCAAAACAGAAGTCCCTCTGCCTTTCGCTGGCAGTCTTGGAGCACGATGAGACCTTGCTGCTCCAGCTTTCGCTAGCAAAGAGTAAAATTTTTTTCCTAGACGAGGCTTCATTTTCCCCTCCTTCCCCTTCAGCCTCTCTCAGACCTTACAATTTGGCTGCTCTCTGTCTGAAAAACCTTAAATGGGAACAGATTGGTTTTGAATTTTTGGAGCGCTTAAGGCTTTCTGTTGCCTAGAGCTGGCACACTCCCAGCACACTTTAGATTGCAATTGCAGAAAAATACCTGGTCCGTCGGAAGCGCGTTGCCAGTCCCCGGGCTGAACACAGGTACTGACTGCGTCTGCCTCTGTGCCTGGCAGCCCCAGCTGGGGCTTCGTAGCCATGGGAGCCTTCACGAAGTGGGACCCCGTCGCCCTCGCAAGGTGAGCCCTGGTGGGCCAAAATCCGAGTTGTTCAGGACCCAGGTGCTGCCAGGGCTGGGTTCAGTAATTCCTCGGTCAGAGTTTCTCTGGGAGTCAGCGAGAGGGCCCGCCAGCGGTGCGGGGGGCATCCCCGAGCTGTGACCGAGCTGACGGGCTGCTCAAAGCCTGGAGCGCGCGCGGCGTCCTCCCCAGCGGCCTTGTGAAGCGTGCTCCTCGGTGGGAAGCTCGTCTTCTGCCTCCGTGCCCTCCAGCCGCCGGCGCTGCCGGTCCTCGCCTCCCGTGAGCCGAGCCAGCCGGGGGGGTCTGCGTGTCCTCTCCCTTTGTCGGTGGTGAAGCTTCTCGAGTAGGCGGCTCTGAGATTTTTGGTTTGGGGTTGATACTGTCTGGGGGCATGTTGCTGTTCCTTTCGTGTTGCTCAGTTTTCTGTCACCCTTTTGCCAAAGGAGCTTTCTCTTTTTGGTAGGCAACCTGAGAAGGAAGTCAAACACGAGAAGTCCTTGGACCAGCCTAGTGAAGAATCCCTTGAGGGAGCAGCTGAGGAGCTGGAGACAGGGCTCGAGCGAGGGAAAATGCATTTATTGCACGCAAAGAAGGAGAAAATTCAGCAATTCCAGGAGGAGATGAGGCTCCAGGAGGAGGAGGAAGCTGAGAAGCTTGATGAGCAAAAAGAAAAATCCCTCAGGTACTTTCCTTTTTTACTCCATCGCCCGCCTGTTTCTCCTCCGAGCCTTCCCCAGCTGCAGTCTCATTGCCGCTGGGCACAGGCCGGTGCAGTTGCGGGGCCACCGCTGCTTTGCAGAGCCGTGGGTGAACGAGGCAAGAACCAGGCTTTTGGGGAGGAGGAGTGCGGGACTCGGCCTGGCACAGGCAGTGCCGTGCGCGAGGAGCTGCCCATCGTGAGATGAGTAGCGGTCCGCTGTCAGTGCGGTGCGCGGAGCGCAGTCTGCCAGGGGAAGGCAGTCCCCGAGCCAGCCGGGAGAGCAGCTCCCCATCTCCCGCGGGGTGAGCCCTCGTGCCCTACGCACGCAGCTTTCACTGCTCCGACCTGGCCTCTTATGGTTGACCTGGGAAGAGTTGCCAGTTCAGTGCTCGGAGCTTTACTGCCTGGCAGGCGCTCGGATCCTGGGCTGAATGGCAGTAACAGGACTGGAAATGGGAGCGTTAGAGGAGGTGAGGTTACCCCAGAGGAACTCTCTGGAGCGCTGGTACTGTGTGGTTTGCAGACGGACTTCCAGACAAGGCTTTCAGGGCTAGGGCATGGATGCCGGTGGGAAACCCAGCCGGTGCATGGGGATCTAACAGCAGTTCAGGGAGCGGAGCAATGCTGGGAGCTGTGTCCTCTCCTGGGGGGAGCTTTGCTCTCCAGGCTTGTGTTTCATTTCGGGTGGCCTTGATACTTATGTTCTTAACACACCAAGCCAGCCAGAAACAGTATTTTGGCAGGAAATGTCGTGGCAATGCTGTCTTATGCAGTAATAGAGCGGTAGTAAAAAGGGTGTCATATGAAAATACAAAGCTTACGGAGGTATTAATGCATCCAGCTACCTTGGCTGGGAGCCTGCTTTCAGTTAATAGGAGTTGATTTCATTGCCTGGAAAAAAACCACCCCAGGTGCCACCCGTGATGACATAGAGCATTGTGAAAATGCGCCGCAGAGTTTGGTGCTCGGGGACTGCTGCATCTCCCATGCCAGCAGCCAGGCTCTGAGGGGTGCAGGAGAATTAATGGTCCGGAGCCCTGAGCGTGCTTCGCTCGGGCAGGCCCCGCTCGTGGCAGCGACAGCTGATCTGCAGCCTCGGGGAGGAGATCTGAGGATATGAAAGCGTACTGAACTTTTTTTTGTTTTTGCCTGGATGCTCATCTCTCAGGTCTCCGGAAGAAGATTCGGCAAAGGTTTCCGAGGAGGAAGAGTTGTGTATCAGAAAGGAAGAAGCTGAGAGACTCTTAAAGCTGCGAGCCAAAATCGCCTCAGAGACCGAGGCAGAGGAGCAGAAGATAAGGTGAGAAGTTTCGCTGCCATCTCTGGGAGCGTAGCTTTGCTGGTCTGGGAGGGAAGCCCCTTGCATGCCGGCAGCAGCCACCCCAAGAGGAGGCACCAGCCCTCCTGAGCCTCCCAGAGCGCGCACCCTGGCCTGGGAGAAGCGCGAGGCCCTAACTATAACCCGCTGCGTGCGGGGCGGCTGCGTGTTGGTAGACGGCAGAACTGCCGGGCCGTGACGCTGCCAGCTCCGCTGCCTGGGAGCCGATCAGGTTTTGCTAAGTAGACACAGAGCACGTAAGTGTCCTGAAGAGAGGTGTTGCTGGCGTGTTGGACCAGGCACTGGGACATGTAAACGAAGGAAACAGCATCTGCAAGGGTCGTTGCACTCGGCAGCGTAGCTTGGTTTGGCCGGACATCTCTGTCTAGCAGCTTTTAAGGCCTGCGAAAAAGACTGGGGGAGGCAGAGACTGGAAAAAGTCTATTTTATTATTTCTTTTTTCCTTAGTTGACAGACAGGGCTGCACCTGACTGCTTTGCTGTTTGTTTCCAAGCCTGAGACGACACACTTGTGAATCCGTGTGCTGTGGTTCTCCGTTTCTTCTGGCTTGCGTGTCGCATCCCATAGCAGTGTCCTCTCTCGGCTCTGGTTCCTAAACGGAGTCCAGCGGTGAAGTGCCGAATTCTGACTTGCTTCTATCCGTGTTCTCGTTGCAAACCTCCCAGGGCAGAGCAAGAGGTCACGCTGCAGAAACTCAGAGAAGAGTGGGAATGCCGGCAGGTGATGGAGAAGGAGAGCCTGGAGAGGAAGCAGCAGCTTGTTTTGGAGAAGATGAGGCTGGAAATGGAGGAGGCTCAGCAGAAAGCGACGACTGAGCTGGAACAAGAGAAGGAACAATTCCTGAGCGAGCTCAAGGAGAGATTAGACAGGGAGAAGAAGAAGGTGAGATCTTTTTTGCCAGCTAGGGTCAGACCCGTGCAGCTCATGCTGACCTGGCTTGCGCTGCAACGCTGAAGTGTTAAGATCAAATAACGCCTGCGCGCGCTCGAGTAGTGACTCGCCTAAAACATAAAGGAAAGGTGCTGGGCATGCTGCTAGAAGCAGGACTGAGGCGGGGAGGAGTACTCCCCCGTTTTGTATTGCAGTGGTGGTTAAATGACAGTTATTTAAATGGCCACATTGCATCTGAAGGAAAGGGAAGGATCGCTGCGTGTCTCTGCCGGGCTAAGCCCGGGCAGTTCGTCAGATCCGACCCCCGCTGTGGCTGCTGCTGTGCTGCTCCAGAGAGCCTGGGGAGTTCTCGAACGGAGGCGGTTCGTAGTCCTTCCAGCACAGCACGACTGAGACCCGTTGTGATCTCCTGGGAGGGAAAGCGTACAGAGAGTGAAGGCACCTTGCACGTAGTCCGGTGTGGAAGGGGTTTACCATTGCCCTTTTGTGACGCTTATGGAGAGACGCTAATTGCAAATGCATCTCGTACAGCATGTCCTCACACATAGAGGTTTTCCCGCTTGTGTTCCTTCCTGTAGGCACTAGAAGAGCTGGAGAAACAGTTTGCAACTGAACTCCAGCAGCTGACATCTGCAGCCGAAGAGAAGCATCATAAGGTAAAAGATGGCATCCTTAGAGCGTAAATTGCGTCTTTCCCACACTGTCACAAAAGGTGGTCCGGGAGGGAGGCATTAATTTTTTTTTCCACTTCCTAAACGTGGTTCTGGTCTGGCTCAGCATTTGGACGTGCTCCAAGTAGGGGGTGGTGAGACTGCACACCCTGGTCTTTTCCACGCTGCTTGCTCTCTGGAGGAGGGCACTAAATGGATCTTGTCAGAAGGGTGACAAGGCTCTGTGGGTGGCTTTCGTGGCAGGTCATTTCCAGCCTGCAGACCCGGGCAGCAGAGGCACAGAGGAGCGAGGAGGCTCAGCTGCGTGAAGACTTGCAGAGAGCGGAGCAGAAAGTGCAGCAAAAAGCCTATCAATTAACAGAGTACGAACGCGAGGCAAGTATTCATCTTGGGTTCCTGAAGGTTCTTCACCCTCTCCTTGGATGTGTGTGGCGAGGTGTGAGAGGCCACGTGCCCTGCCCAGGGGCGACAGGGGTGCCTTAGGGGAAAGGACACCCCTGCGGCATCTCACTTTGCTGGGGTGCCTGCCTTGTGCTACCCAGGCCACAGCCTGAGCCCCCTTGCAAGGTGCCTGTGGCTCGTGTGCGAGGTTGCTCTCGGGGGGGCCGCTGCAGCACAGTGCTGGGGTTCAGAGGAACGTCCTGCCGTGTCATCCCTGCAGCTCAGCGAGCTTATGAGAGAGAAACGCCAGGAAGTGCAAAAGGACCACGAGAGGAAAATGGAGCGGATGAAAGAGGAGCACCAGGAAGCCTTAGCACGGCTTCGGGATCAGTACGAGGAGGAGGTACTGCTGCGGGAGAGCGGTGGGTTGGGGAGGGGACTCCCACGGCTCGCTGCGCTGGGCTGTACCGCGGCTGGCACCGCTGCTTGCCAGCCCTGCCCGTCTCAGCCACTCCTAGAACTGGGCATCTCCTTTCTCCTAGGAGAACTGGGCGTTGTTGCCATGGTGAAAAGTGAATTTAGACTGGGGTTATAAGGATAAGCTGTCGAAACATCTCTGTGCCGGCAACTTCCACATGAGTTTGTGGACTTCTGTATGAGAGTAGATTGTTCAAATTTTTGCAGGTGCCCTCTGGAAAGCCTTCTGCCTCCCGTTTTTGGCTACACAGTCAGCAGTGTGTGACAAAACCGTAGTTTCGTGGCTTGTTTCTTCTGTCATGAGCCATTCCCTTAACAGCGCTCTCCCTCTAAGCCAGAGGTTTTAATCTGCTGAGCTTGATGTTTGCTCAGGGGCTGCTGAGTGATGGGCTGGCTTTCCAGAGCGTGTGTCCTGTGTGTTCGTGTTGGCTTGCTGGAAAACCCTGTGCCTCGCTCGGGCGCTGTTCTCATTTGTGCTTTGCGACAAACAGGAGAGAAAGCAAAGAGCAGAGCTGCTTGAAGGCCTGCGCAGCCAGACGGTGCGCCTCCGGCAGCTTCACGAAGCAGAGGGGAGAGCTCTGCAGGCAGAGCTGGATGAGCGGCTCGCTGCGTTGCAGCACAGGCACCGGGAGAAGGTGCAGAGGCCGCTTTGCCTAGCAGCTGGTCGTGGCTTGGCTGCTCGGGGGGGGCCCGGGGGCTGTGACCAGCGTGGTGACGCCGTTGGCGGGCACGCTTTCCCAGTGCCGCGCTTTCCAGGCTTTGTGTCTCTGCCAGTGGCAGAGCTCTGCCTGGCGAGTGGGGAACTTGTGCTATTCTGTCTTTAACTCAGCATCTCTGTGCAGGAAAGAGAACTCCAGGAACAGGAAAACGAGCTTGAAACGCGCACGAAGAACGTCAAAGCCAGATCGGTGCAGCTCCTTAGCCAGGTGAGTCAACCCTGTTGGGCTCGCGGAGGTTTCAGAGCCTGAGTTGCTCCTCTGGCTGCTTCCTCGTGCGGGGCTTTTCAGAAGCGCTCAGCCAGGGCTTTTGCTGCCATGCAAGTTCCAGGTAAAACTTTCGTCACAGGTCAGAGCAGGGCTGAGCGTTCCTAGTGGTACGGCCGGGCGGCTGGTGTTTGCAGCGAAAGCCAGTGCTCTGGGTTTGCTCAGCGCTGCGGGAGACAGTCAGTCGCTGTAAGAGTGACACAGGGAGCAGAAAAGCCTTTGAAGGTGGCTTGCCATGCTCAGCATCACTTTGGATTGTAGTCAGTCCCCTCCTGATTTACCTCCTCTTCTCCCTGCTGCTGTGAAACAGGAATGAGTGTTTCTGGATCTTGGGCAGCAGAGCGGGAGAGAAAAGCACTCCAGATGCTCCCGTGGAGCTGACAAAAATCACTGGCTGATGCTCTTGCCTGCCAGACCTCTCAAGCCCTGGCCTCTGCCAAGGGCCATAGACAACCTTGCTTCTGTCAGCCGTTCCTTTCCAGGCAGCACTGGAGTGAGGAAGTAAAAAGGCGGAGAAATGCTGGAGGCAACCAGGGGCTTCACAAAAGCAAGATCCTGCAGAAATGGCTATGTGCCTTGGACACTCCTGCAGCTGAGTGGGAAGGGCTGTCCTTCCCGCAGGAGTGCAAATATTCCCAGCTTCTCACCTGAAGTCAAGTGAAGGGAGGGGAACCTGAGTGTGTGTGTGCGGGGGAAATAAAGCAAGGCTGACAACAATCCTCAGTTATTTTAAAATGGTCCTGAGACTTAGGCTTGGCCTCTGTAGTTCGGGTGATGCCCAGCATCAGCAGCATCCTCGCTCTGACACTCGCCTGCTTTCTTGTCCGTGTGTAGGAGGAGTCTCTGAGAAAGAAAAGGCAGCAGCTGCTGGATGAAGACAGACAGACTGAGCTGGAAAGAGATGTATGTATGCCTTGGCTCTAGGGAGGTGCTGTGCTGCGTTTCTTTTGGGGGTGAGGGCAGCACGCTGGAACTATGGCTTTAAAACGACAAACTGTAGCTTCTAAATTGTGAGTCTGGAGTGCCATCCTGCTGGGAGGTTGATTAGCTGTGAGCTGCTTCCCAAAAAGAAGAGACGGTCCTGTTCTTCCAGGGTTGGCGTGTAGTGTGTGCATTGGTAGCTCTGGGGCCTCCTGTGAACAGTGCAGGTAGCGAGCTCTTGCGTGTTGTGTGCCTTTTGTCTTCATGTTGGGGAAATTACTGCGAGGGATTTTTTTTGGTTTTCCTCTAGGAAGCTGCTCTAGCTTCTCAGCTTTGCCTAGAGGAGAATAGGAAGGAGCATGCCAGCCTCCTGGAGTCCATCCGGCAGCTACGTCGGTCTCTTGAAGAGCTCCAGGACCAGAAAGCTGAGCTGGAGGCCCAGGTGGACTTGTTGCAGACCCGAAGCCAGAGGCTGCAGAAACGCATCAGGTGTGTGTATGAGAAATTTCCTCTAATACAAAAAATCTACCCTATGCCCCTAACAGAAACCTCTCTAACGTAACATGGAGCTCTCCCTTACCTCTGAGCGTCTTGTACGCTGGGCCGTGTTCCTTCTGAATCCTAAAGGTGGTTTTACCGCATGTCGAGGGCATGGAGGTCCTGGGCTCTGTTTCCAGATGTATTAACAGCTTGCTGTGTGAATTTGTCCCTTCACCTTTGCTCGTTGGGTTCGTTTGTTCGTCTTCTCCGCGTCTGTCTCGCGTGGTTAATGAGATGCTTCGAGAGGGGCACTGAAATGCAAAGGAAGGATGTTCCTAAGGTAGCCGAGCTTCTGGGTAAGGCTGTGGAGCGGTGTCTCCCTGCCCAGCCAGGGGCCATGTCTGACACCGCACCGCAGACCCCGTGCTGCTGTTGTCTTGCACATCTGGGGCCCTTTCCCTCCCGGAAACCGGAGGTCACTGTGGACACCGTTGCAGACTGATTGCTGGGCTAGGTGGACCTGCAGTCTAATCAAGTGCTGCCACTTGCTCTTGTGTTGCCTTTTCTTGTGGCAGTGAGCTGGAGGCAGCTGCCAGGAGCAAACAGGAGACTTTGAAAGAACTGGAGGCACAAGAAAGCGTTGAATCTCCAAGAAGGAAAGCTGAGCTCCAAGTTGAAGACCTGAGAGAAACTATTCAAGCTGTGAGTAAAGCAGACTGTAGAGGTTTTTGCCTTGTGAGATCTGAGGCGGTAACTCCCTTGAAAATCCCAGCTTTTGTTCCTTCTGTGTGAACTCATTTGAGATGCAGTGATGCATTTTTCTTTGCCAGGAGACATCAATACGTTCAGTAGCATTTGTTGATTTCTGTCTATTATTACTGGGGGGAAAGGAGTGTGGGATACTTGCGTGCCCCTGGAGTCGAAAGCAAGGCTTGAGTCAGGGATAGAAATGCCTTTGCTACTTCTGAGAAGTCACACAAAGAACATCCCTGGCACTGGTTTTGCATCTAGGCAGTACCACGGTGATGGCATTCCGCATTTTGCCTCCTAATTGGATTCTTACGGGGTCCCGGGCTTCTTTTTCCCATGCGTATTCCTTAGTTTTTGAAATGTTTCCACTCCTCAGCACTCGCCCAGAGAACCTGCTTCCCCACCCTCTCAAAGCCACGAGGACAGAGAGTTCCAGTTTGATCAGTGAGTATCTCTGTGCCGGCTGCTTCTGGGGCATGGCAGTGCTTCGGTTTTCCGAGCCCACGGTTCTGCCTGGGTCCATCCGCGTTGCGCCCTCAGTCCGCTTCTGCTGAGCGTGCAGCATGAGGCTTGCAGGGTGGCGCGGTCAGAGCAGAAAGCCGAGAGCATGCCTGTGTGTTCCGTGTAGTGTCAGGAGCTACATCTCCGCGGAAGGGATCTCCATCAGGAACACCAAGGAGTTCCTGGTGCGCCAGGCCCGCTCCATGAGGAAGAGGCACTCGGCGCTGAAAGCTGCAAAGCAGCAGTGGCGCCAGGATATGCAGAAAGCGCAGGAGGTGGTGCGGGATCCCGACAGCTCCCAGCTCCTGGAGGGCATGCGCAGGAACCTGGAAGAGGTGAGCCCCTGGGTGCTGCCTGTGGTCAGATGTCGGGCACCGTGGCTGCGCGAATGAACCCCCAGCCGTGGGGTTGATTCCTGGCTCCGCTGCTGCAGTGACAGGCAGCTGTGGGCGTTCGGTCCTGCTGGAAAGCAGATCTTGCATGCCTTGGATGATAGATAGGCAATGTTTGTCCCTGCTTGTGTCTTCCTCACCGTGATGCAAGGGTTGGAGTCCTCCCGCCCTCAGGCTGGCTGCAGACAGCTTCAGGAAGGCCAGGGGAGCTGGTTGGGAATGTGGTGCAAAGGCAGTGTCCCAGGAACAGGCTTAATGAGAACCTGGAAGCAATTGTACTCCAGCAGCATGGTTTCCCGTGCTGAGTAGAAGTGAGCTAATGAAAGCCACCCTAACCAGTAACGTGGATTATTTCCTGTCATTCGTGTTTAACTTTCCTCCTCGGCTTGGCTGTCGATCCACCGCAGGAAGCAAAGCAGTTGGACAAGATGAAGTCGGCTATGCAGAAAGGACAGGTGCTGCTGAAGAAGAAAGAAGAGAAGCTAAGCCAGCTGGAGTGCTCGCTGCTGGAGGAGGTGAGCGCTGGCGTCGCTGTTGTTGGGCCTGCCCAGAGCCCTGCGCCTCCTCCCCTCGGCTGGAGTCTCTGCAGGGCTTGTGGTGCCCGGGAGGCCAAAGGCTGGCGTTTGCCAGCAGAGCTGGGTTTCAGAAACACATTCCCTGAGAGCAGAACGGTCGGTCTGTCTGCCTGAGCACAGTGGGAGAGAAGTCGTAGAGTTGGAGAGGACGACAGGCGTTGGACTGCGCTGCCCGTGATTCACTGGGTCTGCAGCCAGCAGGAGCGTCGGGGTTTAACTGAGCGCCGCGCAGCTGCTCACGCATTCCCCGGCTGGGGTGGGGGGAGAATCCAAAGAGTAAAAGGTGAGAAAACTCCTGGGTCGAGATACAGAGAGTTTAGTAGGCAAAGCGAAAGCTGCGCACGCAAGCACAGCAAAACCAGGGATTCATTCGCCGCCTCCCGTCGCAGGCAGGGAAAGCGGGGCTCCGTCGTGCGTAGTGGTGACTGGAGGAGACAAGCAGCAGCGCTCCACGCTCCAGGCCCCCTGCTCGCTGGCGGGGTGGGCTGAGAGGCAGAAAAGGCTGTGGTGCTGTGTAAGCACTGCTCAGCGGTAACGAAAACATCCCCGTGTTATCAGCACTGTTTCCAGCACAAGTCCAAAACACAGCCCCAGAGTAGCTACTTGGAAGAAAATTAACTCTGTGCCAGGCCACACGAGCACAAAGATGGTCGAGAGAGACTTTCTTCCACGGTGGCAGCTTGCCAGGCAGGGCTGCTGGCAGCAGGGCTGGACTTGGGTGCACAGAACCTGCCGGGTGCAATGGTTTGTGAGAAGCTGGTTTGTCAGGTCGGAAGCGAATCCTACGACCTAAACTAAACCCCTCATCAGAAGGGTTAGATGTCTTGGTAACTGCCTGTATCGTGGTATGTATGGCAGATACTGAGCCTTCCCTCCGGTTCCGACATCCAGACTCGCTCTAAGTGTGCGGCTGCCGAAAGCAGCCTGGAAAAGCCTCCTGCTCTGAGCCTAGAGAAAACAAGGGCAGGTCAGCTCGTGTGAGCTGGGCTGGAGCCTGCCTTCCTGACCCAGGCAAGCCTCGCGATCTGCTCGGCTCTGCCTGGCGCCACGTGGCCTTAGGCAGGGCGGCAGCAGATGCAAGAGCACGAGGCCTTTGGTGGTCAAGCGTGTGTCCTTGGTGCGAAGAGAGAACCCAGCCCACGCGAGAGTTGTCACAAAACACTGTGACTTCTGCCTAGAAGGGCCGATTCGCGTGGCCGCTGGGTTCGGCCACTAGTGCACGCACGTGCTGCTTCCAGAGACTGAGCACCCTCCTGACTTTCAGATTTTGCTGCCGGGAGCTGGAGAGGAGTCTGCTTTCACTTGGCCTGTGCCTGTCCGTGCAGCCCAGCCTGCGTAGACGAGCTGTAGGCAGTATTCCCGTGGCTTTTATGTTTCAGGGACAGAGCAGCAGGCATTATTGGCTTTGTTTTCCTTCTTTTGACCAGCTTTCAGATGAAGATACGCTGAAGAGTGCTGCGTGCAGGAAGATGGTGACTTTTGATCTCAGCAACTCTGAGGACACAAACAGCACGTCCAGTGTAAATCTGCGGCAGCCTGAGTGTAAGCGCGTGACTGGCTCGAGATGCTGTGCCCGACGTCAAATGCTTGAGGCCTGGTTCTGGCTCTCCCTCTCGCCTCTCTGATGCACCTTCTGTTGTTCTCACTTGTGCTCGTTAGTGTCTAAGGCAGGTCTGCTAGCCGTGACGGGGGCTGCTCTGTGCAGAACAGTTTATTTGGAAAACTTGTTTCCTGCCTGTAGTGGCAGATGAGAGGGATGGAGTCGGTGCGTGAGCTTGCCTTGTAAGTCTGTGCCTTTGTTTTCAGAGGGGATTATAAACTCTGGCTGCAGCTCTTCCCTCTGCTGTTGCAGAGCTGTGTTGCTTTTCTGCAGGTGTCGGGCTTCGTCTTCCTCGCGTCGCTGGCAGGAGGGGCTGCTGCCTTTCCCCCTGTCTGCTGCTTGCGCTTTTTGGTTTGCCTCCTGTAGCCGGGGTTGCGCAGGTGGGAAGAAGGGCTCCTCGCGAGCAGCCGGGCGGGCAGGAGGGGGGGGGTGCTCGCAGAACGGCTGGCCAGGCTGAGGCTTGTCGAAAATTTGGAAAGCTTCCCTGTGGCGACAGACTGACAATCTGTCCAGTCTGGGCTGGTCTCTCTGACCCCGATCGGTGAAATATCTGCAGGCACGCGTGGAACTGAAGGGCTTTCTCTCACCGCAAGACGAGAGCCCTCGTGTCAGCACCGTCCTCTTGGTCCTCCCTCCAGCCTGGCTGGTGGCCTAGAGAGCTTTGCTGCTTCCGAGCGTGGGAAGCGCAACCGATCCGTTCCGCCTCCTGGGCTGGTCTCTCTGACCCCGATCGGTGAAATATCTGCAGGCACGCGTGGAACTGAAGGGCTTTCTCTCACCGCAAGACGAGAGCCCTCGTGTCAGCACCGTCCTCTTGGTCCTCCCTCCAGCCTGGCTGGTGGCCTAGAGAGCTTTGCTGCTTCCGAGCGTGGGAAGCGCAACCGATCCGTTCCGCCTCGCGCTCAGCTTGTGTGCGCTGAGACCGCTGCAGTACGGCGCGATTGCCTGCGCTGGGGTCTGGCTGGCGAGGCGGGGTGCGGGGCTGGGGGTTTCAGCGTGGGGGGCAGCTCGTTCTTGCGCCGTTGGAGCATCTTGTCCTTGCTGTCTTGCTTCTCCTCCGCTTTGTGCCCAAGCAGCCCCCGAGGCACAAGTCCTCGTTGTCGGGCCGTGTCTCCTCCGTTGGCTGCAACGCCAGGTGTCTGCCTCTCTGTCCCCCTCCGCACACACTGACCAGACTCGGCTCAGAGCGCCGCGGAGCGCGGGGCTCCTGCCAGGGGGGCAGGGTCTCCCTCGCCTTCCCAGTGATCTCTTTTTCCCCCTCTCTCCTGCCAGTGGATGTGAGAACCGATTTGCGGCCTGCCCCACACCTGGACAAGATCCAGTACCTGACGGACTCTCTGCAGCGTATCACTGGTGAACTGAACGGCGTCCTCGGCGTCCTGGGCTCTCTGAGCAACCACCAGTCTCCACTCTTCACCTCGACGCCCTGCCACGGGGTCCCTCTTTCTACGTACGCCTCCTTGGCAGGGCTGCAGGCGGCCGGCTCCCTGGTCCCCCCCGCCGGGGGGTCTCTGGTAGACCAGCGGGCCTGGAGCACTGGGCTGAGCTCCGCTCGCTCTGCCGCAGCTGGGCAGTCGGTGGACAGCATCCTGGCAGAGAAATGGCACAAGTATTTCCCAGGTAAGTCTCCTATCAATCCATCTGCTTGGCTGCCTGCGAGTTTTGCTGTCACAGCCCTGCTGTGAGCCTAACTGGCTCACCCTGGATCCACTGGTGCTGCTGGTAGGAAGGGTGCTGAGGAGATAAGGAATGAGAACCTCCTTCCAGGAGGCGCAGCGCGTGGCTGATCTTGTCATCCTGCGCCTGGAGCAGCTCAGCCTTTAACATGCTCTGAGAAAGCAGCTGTTGCTAGAGACGGGAGCGAAAGAGGAGACAGCCCTGCTGTGCTAGAAGCCTGCTGTGAAGCGCAGATAGGGTTCGCCATCTTGGCTTCCCTGACTCCACCACGGCCTCGGCCGGTGGCTCAGCTTGTAAGGACAGAGCGTCCGTAGTACAAGAAAGCAGATGCACCCAGATGGGAAGACTATGGAATCTGGAGGGGGCATGTATTTAGTGTCTGTTTTCCAGGTGGGTTCCCGTCGCTCAGTGCGAGTTCCAAGCCTCTGGACAGCAAACTGGGATACGTGCCTGCAGAGTAAGGGTCTTTTTTCCTTCTCTTGTTTTGTTGTGCTGCTTGTATTTCTCGGGGATGATTTACGGGTCGCGTTTCACAGAATGGGTGGACAACAAAATGGTAAGCTACGTATGAAGTAGAGAAGTTAGATTCTGGTGGTTACTCACCGCCACGTGCTTGGCGCTGCCTTGTAGCTCCCGCAGGGAAGCTGCCTTCGTCGCTGTGCTGATCACCCTCGTTCAGGACCAGTGTCCGAGGGTGCCGACACCAGGCCACGCCGGCTGTGCCGTGACAGGCGACGTGGCGTGGGTGGATGGAGCGGGGGCTGCCGCCCAAACCTTTCTGATGGCATGCAGGCGAAAGGGAGGAGAGCAGCCTGATGGTGGGGGCTTCTCTACGATGTGGTTGGGCAGAGGACTTTGAGCCAAGAGGAGGCTGCTTTTTGTTAACCGTGGCTCTTGCTGTGGCCACCCATCATCTTCTTTGTCGTTTCTGGGATCGTTTCTGCCTCGACCTCTCTTTCCCACTTGCGCTGTCTCTTTCTCTCATGCAACAGTGAGCAGATACGGCTGTTCCAGCACTCCCAGTTCCGGAGCCGTGAGTCAGACAAGAGGAGTATTGAAGGAATGATTGAGAGCAGCAAGAAATGGCTCGAAGACTTCAAGAGGGATTCAAACGTGTATCCTTTGCCCGAGTCTGGTCTGTAATTGCACTCCAGCTTCCTGCAGTAGGTAGGAGGAGACAGCAGGAGGTGAGTGAATCGGGAGCACTGGAGCACCGAATAGCAATTTTGAAGCCTTAGCCTCTGTTCTAGTGTCCGGTTCTGCAAAGGAATACGGTGTTTAGCAGTTGGAGCGTGAGTGACCTCTTTGCTCTTCTTCGAGCTGTACTTGACTGAGAGAGTCTCCTCCCTTTCCCCAGTTGTGCTGTGATGCTTTTTAGTGCCGCTGCTCTCCTGTGACACACAGCAGTTGGAGCTGGTAATGTAAGAATTCCAAAAAACTAACCAAAGAGTGCAGAATGGAGGGGGAGGCAGGGAACTGCTCTTGCTGTTGATGTGGCCCCAGCCCCATCGATGCCTTTGCTGTGGGCAGTCCCTGCGGAGCAGCCCGGGAGGAGGGAGCGGTGTCTCGGCGGCACGCGGCTGGATCGAAGGAGCGAGACCTCTCAGGGCTATTAGCGGGGACGTTTCCAGGTTTGTGTTGTAACAGCATTAGGCTGGGGCTGTCAGCATCTCCTCGGCAGCGTACACTGATATTAGCAGCAAATCCCTCGGGCCTCCGATAGTGCCCGCTGTCCTGGGCACAGTGCTCCTCTGAGTTCCCTAATCCCCCTTTAATTCCCTGTGACTTGGATGCGGCAGGCTCGGTGCAGCACGTGTGCGTGAGGCTGGCTGCCGCC